CCCGCCCCTCGTCCCTTGGGCTTCGCTTAGGCTTCTGCCATTCGGGCATCTAAGCCTGGTGGGGATGTAACCCAAGCGGGAAGGGAGGGAGGGAGGGAGCTGGCTCTGAGACGGCAGGATCCAGGGTGTGAAGGAAGCGGCGACTCGTTGGTTCTCGTCTCCCGCTCTCTGGACTTACACTTCCACCCCGACTACGACGAAGAAGACGACGTGCTGCTCTGTCGTGGCCTGGGGCTGCTGGCGCTCTGGACCCGACAACCAGATGGAAGAGGACCTTCCACTAGGGGAAGCCCAGAGAAGGGCTCTGATTGGCTGGGCTCAGAGTCGGTAGCTATCCCTGGGCCAATCACCGTGGCCCACCTGGGGTCACATGGCCAACCTATGACCAAGGGGCGGGGTCTGTGCCAGAAGAAAAGAGAGGAAGGGTGCTGAGCGGAGGGGCGCTAATGGTGCCCCCAGCCCAGAATTGCTGCAACCATGGCAACGACCCAGGAACTGGGTCCACGCAGGGAGCCTCTCTGTGGCCTGGTGGCTTTAGAGCCTTCGCTCGCCTCTGAGAGGAGGGCCCGTCCTGCCTTCTCTAGCCCCACGCCTGTTGGGAGGCTGTTACTTCTTGGTAACTGGGATTTGTTTTAAAAATCATTTTGAAAAATAGTAACGTGCACATGTAAAAGGTTCCAAAAGTACCAAAAAATGTGCAGTAAAAAGTACACTTTCCTCCAGCGTCCCGAGTCCACCTTCTAGGGCCATTCAGTGTGGCATGGCGGTTGGGAGCACAGGCTTTGGGGACAGGCTACCTGGGTCCAAATCCCAACTTCCGCTCTCGGTGCTCTGTGCTTCAGGCGGTAAACTGTACCTCTCAAGCTTCAGTTTCCTCTTCATAAAGGAGGATCGTAAGACACCTACTTCACAGTGTGGCTATAAGAAATCGCTGGCTTAAAACTATGCCCAACCCATGGGAACATTGTGAAAGCATTAGCTGCCAAGAATAAATGCATTTATATAAGGTGTCTCCCCATTTAAATTTTATTTTTTTCACATTGTATAAACCCTTAGATTCTCTTTAAACTTTTTAAAAGACTTCAAAGTTTTTAAATTAAAAAAAAATGTTTTAAAGACTTTTTCAGAGCAGTTTTAGATTTACAACAAAAAATACTCCCCGCCCCCACACATCACCTCCCCCCCCGTTATCAATATGACTCGTCAGAATGGTCCATGTTTCACCAAGGATGACACATCATCATCACCCAAAGTCCACACTTTACGTGAGGGTTCACTCTAGGCTTTGTACATCCCATGGTTTGAATGCGTGTATAATGGCACTATCATTAGAGTGTCATATTAAGTATTTTTACCGTCCCCCCAAATCCTCTGCTTTACCTATTCATCTCTTCCCTCACCCTTGTTTTGTTCATTTTTAAAATATTTCTAACTAAGTTTGAAACAGAACATTGTGCAACAGTAACTGGAAACTCACCACCCAGATTTTACAAATGCTGACATTTTGCAATATTTATTTCAGATCTATTTTTGAAAAAGAAAACATTGCAGTTACTGCTTAATCCCCCTCCTGCTCCACCCTTTTATTTTTACCCAAGGAGCAGCATAGTTTTCATACTTCCTCCCTTTTTCTCTGTGACCTAATGTATTTGGAGATCTGTCCCCCTGGGTCCCATGGCTCTGTCCCTTTTTCTCTGACAGCTGCTCAGACTCCTGCTCTGAGGCTGTCCCTGCCTTTTCCTGCCCCCTCCTGACAGGCATGTAGTCTCTCACCCAGCAAAAAACAGATGACACACATTGGGGCCTGTGTCACGATGGGGCCTGTGCAAGGCTCGCCTCAGCACCCCTCGATAGGAGCAATGGCGACAGAGCGGTACCGCGGAACTGCTGAGTTCAAGAGCACGTGTGATTTCGAATTGGCCGCTATTGTAAATGACCTCTAGAGGACGTTGTACCAAATAATTAGGAGTTGAAGGAGGAAGAGAGAAAAGGAAGGAGGAGAGGGAGGGAGAGACGCCGGGGGTGGGGTGGGGGGCCGTGGGAACCAGGAGTCAACAGCTCCTCAAGAGGCTTCCGGCACATTTTCCTGCAGGCTGTGGGTGGGTGAGTTTTGTCCTGTTTGCAAGTCTCCTGACACCCATTCCAGAGGGGCTGCTGCTCATCTGGGGCCTGGGGAAGTTTCAGGGGCGACAGGACTTTGCTCTGCTGGCCTCAAAGCACGTGCACGCAGCATTGGCCGGTGCTAGGATGTCCCGTTTCTGCTGATCTGTCACCGGTGTGCTGAGGCAGCGGGCAGGCTGAGTCTCACGCATGGTCAGCTCTCAGCTCCTGGGGAGGCTGGGGGGTCGTGGGGGGTCGTGTACTTCACACCCAGCCATGCCAATTACACTTTTTGGCAAAGGAAATAGCCGGGAGCAGTTTCTTTTGCCCTCCCCCCACCTTTTTCTCCACGTTTAGATGTCAAATCATTACTGGGTCCCCGAGGGAACTGCTCTCTTGAAGGTGGCAGGAGGAGGGAGACGGCTGCCTGCACCTCGAGTGCCATTTCTGTCAGGTGCCTGCACTAATAACCCGGCTTCTGTGAGACCCGTCAGCACTCAGGTGAATGAAAGGGCACCCCTGAGATGAGCTGGTGCAGGCAGGCTGAGATGCTCCACCCCACCATCACCGCCCTCACCACCTCATGGAAAGTAGGGCTGCCTGAGGAGGGCCTGCCCCAAAACACGCCAGGTGGCCTCGCTCTGGTCCAGTCCAGCCCCGGCGTCTGCCCTCCAGCCTGTCTTGGCGCCCCCAGGCCTGTGAGTGTGGCTGTGTTTTGCAGGCAATAAGGATGGTTCAGCCACACGCTTTAGTGCCTCCTGAATGCTGTGCCCAGGGCACCCTTCCGCAGTCATTAAAGTTGTGTCACTTCTCTACAGTCATGCCCTCGTTTGGGGCTCCGATCTGGCTTTTGGTCTTGTCACCTCTCCCAAACCAGCAGAGCTCTGAACCCAACCCGTGTTCTCAGGGACTCTAGAATGATTTTACTGGTTAATGTATTTCCCTG